GAAAGTCCCTTTGAAAATTTGTATATTTAAACTTCGAGATTCATATCATGTGTTAAAAGTACAATTTTAGTTTATATAAACATAAAGGGTGGTTACGTTGGGGGTGAAAGTTGGAGTCCAGAAAATTTTAATTAGTGATCTGCAAAATTTTGCGCCAAATTCTGTTATGAAATTTTGCAGATCACGAATTAATATATATATATATATATATATCTGATAAATGAAAAAAGGATCGACATATTTTAGTGAATTTTTAATTGTAGAAATTTAAAATGACAAAACATCCCGATTTAATTGTAAATCTTTGTTTCAGGAGGTGAAATGAAGCCACGTCCACATTATCGGGAGAATGAAGGGTAAAAGTGAGATATAACTGAATCGATATACTATCTATACATTGAAGTCTTTGAAGCATTGTGACTTAGTAAATTATTTATCATCATCATAATTATCATATATTTGCTTTAGTGTTATTAACTCTGTTATTATTATTATATTTATAATAGTTTATTTGAAAGATATACTTGACCGATTAAGGGGTTTTTTGGCCGACGCCAACCTCTAAATCAGTTAGATTCATTTTATTTATTTTTTTATATTATTATTTGAAGATACAAAGGAAAATAGAAATAATTATTGATCAGCAAAATAAAATAAAATAAAATAAATATTAATATATTAATATGAAATGCAGATTTATGAACAGGCAGTAAATTTGCTACGTATTTTTTGCCATTTCTGCGCCTTGTCCAAAGGTACCATCTACAAATAAATAAACATATTCAAAACTATTCCAAGTTTTTTTAAAAGTATAATGAAGTGTTTCTTCAAAAAACAAAAATTTTTCTTTTCAAATTTACTACCATTGTTTTTTCTAATAATAATAAAAATAAAATTTCACCAAAAAATTATGTCAATTAGATATTGACTCAGAATTAACAATCACGATTATTACTATTACTATCACCATCATTAAATGATTTAATATTTAAATACTGTTAGTTTACAGACTCATGCTAAAAAAATAAATAATTTACAAGAAGTAAAAAAAGGGAATATTGTTTGGAGGTATTTCTTTAAATGAAACCTCGTCAGAAGTTCAAGCAAGATGCATGAAATATTAATGATTAATCTAACTCATTACTCCGAGAGGTTGTTCAGCGTTGTTGGTAATAATATTACCAATAAACCTGAAACCAATTATTATTGTTTGATCTTTGGCCGAGTCCAATCTATACTGCCATCCATAAAACGATCTGTGTGTTAGCTCAAAAAATAACATAAATCTGAAATCTAAATAAAGGCAACAAAAGAATCTACACCATTGAATAGTCAAAAATGAATTTATTCAATATGTGACTATATACGAATCACTGACAATTTACACAACTGGGTTAATGCAATTATTGTTAGATTGGAAGATTAATTACAATCTAAAGAGCATAGTCATGGAGAAAAGTTGTTCTTAGAGAGACGTCATGATGTGTGGTGGCCATGACTCTTAAATATTAAATCCACCACATTCCTTTGACAGTTTGTTTTTCATGACCAAAGCATTCAAAGGTTGTTTTTTATTATATTACATTTTTATTTATTCGCAATTACTTGTTTTGAAGAACTTCAGGTGCAATATATGGTACCGTCACCAAGTTGACATGAATTCAATTGAATAAATAAATAATCTTTGAGAATACTCAAATTCATTGATAAATGCTAATAGAGGCAAGGCAACTGACTCGATTCTAAAAATTCTGACATAAGCTCTTCCAATATTTAAGTCTTAGCATTTGGTGCGAGTTGCGTGGACTATAAATTCTTTACATTAATTTTTATTTTTTATTCTTTTCAGGAACCTTCTACACAAATCACTTACTAATACTAACACTAAGGATACCTGATGCAATTTAATTAAGATACGGAATACTAACGTTGACATTTTTCAATATTTTTTATATAAAATAGCTATCGGATATAATTATGGCAATTATTAAAGTTAATTATTATTACTATATATTATTTTTTTTGTAGAAACCGAAGAAAAATGGATCACACACTTTCGGTTTGACGGGATTGGCCATGTATTACTATTACTATTTTTTCGAATTCTCTTTACATCACCGTAAAGTCCTCTTTGAAAAGTTGTTAGTGTGCGCGATGTGATAAAAATAAATAGATGCTTTATTTTAGTTTTTATGTAATGTACATGTATATGCATGTATATGCAACAAAAAAATTTTTTTAATTTATATTATTAAGAATTTTCATTGTTATTGATATTGATATCATTGCCATTACCATTGCGATTAGTAGCATTATTGTTGGTGGTAGAATTTTTTCTGGATTGGAAAGCTTGCTTAAATTTATCAGTAATACCTTGACCTGCAACTACTACCCTAAATCTAAATAATGTGCTCAACCAATCTTCCAAATTTGCTTTCTTTTTACCATTATTGCCCTTTTTACCGCCATTATTATTATTATCGTTATTATTATCATTATTATTGTTATTGTTATTATTACTTCCTCCAAAATGTTCACACAATTGATCAAATAAGTTTTGAAAAAAATCCTCCCAATCTTCTCCCATCATTGCTATCCTTTCTCTAACTCCATTCTTCACTCTTCCCCAAACTCGTGAAGTAAGAAATATTCTACATGTATCGTCATAAAAAGTAAGCAAAAATGATGTACAAAATATTATCCAAAGAACCGTTATACAAAATGAATATATCATGATTAATGAAAAGAATTGTGCCGTTGTTGATGAAAATATTCTTCTTGGAATATTGAATGGCCGAAGAATTCCACCCTCATCATTATCATTATTGGTGTTATTGGAATTGGCACCACCATTAATATTAATATTACCACGAACATTACGATTATTTCTATTGACATTATTAGTTGTATGATTTAATCCATGTGTAAATGGTGGTGGATGATAGCCAAAGTCATTTGTTGTATCATCATAAATTTCATATAACGAAGGTGGTGGTGAATTTGTTCGTGGTGACATATTTTCTTTCACTTAAATTTGTGTATATATATCTCTATATAATAACAATGAATGTATGAATGAATGAATAAATCTTTTCAATTATTAAAAAATCTGCACTTAATAATTCGAGACCCAATGCAAAAGAAGTTAATGCTAAAACTTACATGAAAAAATGAAATAAATAATCTCAACTATCACAATGCCGAATTTTAATTTAAATGATAAGTTGGCAAGTTAAATAAATTATAAAAATATATTATTTGTTTGTTAAGGAAGAAAAAAAAGATTTCTTTTTTTTTCCTATACAAAAGTTGTTTTCAAGCAATTCGAGCAATTTGTACTTCAGGGAATTACCAAAATTACAAGGTTATATCATATATGTTACACCGATATAAAAAAACAAATCTTTCAATATTTGAAAAATACTTTATGGAAAATAATTTATCAACTTCCAACAATAATAATAATTTTGACGAACATGATGAGAATATAATAAGAAATGAAAACCTATCTACATCAAGATCAATTATAGACTCTGAAGATTTACAATCCGAGGACGACGACAACGACGACGACAACAACAGTAATAGTAGAAGTAATAGTAGAAGTAGTAATAATAGTAACAGTAGTAATAACAATAGTAATGGTGACAATAATAGCAATGATAATGATGGCAATGACTATAGTGACCTTACCACTAATGACATTGCTACCATTAGTAGCAATTTGTCTAATTTGTCAGATCTTACTTCTGATACAACACCTTTAAAGATTACAGAGCTAAAAGAGGAGGACGAAGGCAACGAAGGATTTATGATAGAATTGGAATTAAACAAAGGCAGCAATATGAGATGTTATACTTATGGTGAAGAAGTGCCTGCTCTTCCTAGTAATTTAGTTGTCACTAATGAAAATACAAGTCAAGGCAATAAAAACAAAGGTTTATCAAGTGATGAGGCATTAGAGTGGGTATTGGGCGCAAATTATTATTTATGATTGTATATATATGAGCATTGCTATTAATAATGATAATTAATATCATTACAAATATTATAGTAAACTTATTAAAGTAGCTAATGAAATATTGGAAGAACATCAAAGTCATGTACCAAAAAAAATGTGTGAGGGTTTCTCTTTTCTTAATTTCTTAAATTTTTCAATTTATCTAATCTAATCATTCATTCATTCGCTCTTTCTTTATCCTTTTCCCTTCCATTCTCTCATATCCTTACCCACTCATCCACAAAATAATCTAGACATTAAAGAATTCATTTCTAGGGTTGATGTAATTCTTTCGATTGTTTCATCTTTGTTGATGTTTACCTTTTATATTTACGGGATAGTTGTTAGCGATCCTTATCAATTCCGTTTAACCTCACTTCTAATCGAAGCAATTTTAATCTTATTGATGATATTATTTAATGGGTATTTGTACACTAAAGAAAAAAATTTAGGTACTATTGAAATTTATGAGCATGCAAAAATCATTATTGAACAATTGAAAAATAGTGGGATGAATACCATTCAGGTACTCAATCATGTTCATGATTAATTAATTTATGATTACTTATGATGATGATAATAATTAAATATTATTATTATTGTTGTTGTTGTTAATAACATTAATGATATGTATTATTAATAATAAAATACCATTTACTTATCCATTTTTCTTGATTATTATTAGAACATTAAAATACCATTTGTTCCATCTTTGACTGCAGCAAAAGTCGTACGCGATGGTTTAGTTCGTAGTTTTCCATCCACTTTATTGGTGAAGGGTGACGTTATCGAAATGATGTATGGTGATATTGCCCCTTGTAGAATAAAATTAATTTCTCAAGAACATATTAACATTGATCTTGATGACCATCTTGATAATAATGAACAAGCTCCTTCATCGTCAACATCAGCTACTATGCCAAAAAGAACTAATATCCTTGAAGCCAGACAAGCATTTAAACCATCATTTTTTGGTGATATACCTTCACAAATTGTGTGGGAACAACATTTAAAAAATAAAGGAATGTACCAATTTACACTGTTGGAAACTCCTTGGGCAAATTGTTTAAGCGCTGCTCTACAACAAAAACGTCCATCTCCTGTCATCCTTAAGCAAGCAGAAGTTCTTAACAATGTTATGCACAAAATACTTTTCATCATAGTAGCAATCGCCCTTGCAATAAATTTTCTCAGATACATCATCATAGATGTTGGTCAATATCGTTTGTTTGATCAAGCATTTGAAATTTTGATAGTGTTACAACTTTATGCTATTTTGCCAATGTTGCCATTATCATTTCTTACCTTATGGATAATAGTAAGAAGTTTGGCAAATGCCACTATTTTAGTATTGTTTGAAGCTCTTCAGATATCTAAAACCGAATATGAGGATGATGAAGAAGTTGATGAGTTTGATGCTGAAGCCCCTCCACCTACAAAAAATGTACATTTGGATTTTTCTGCTGTTTGGAGCAAGTTTTGCTATTTGTTGTCAAAATGGGATGGCACATCGCTTACTCGTTCAACAAATTTGTTTGAGTCATTGGGTAGTACAACTGTAATTTGTTCGATTGATCGCGAGGGAACTATATCTCACCCTTTCACATCTGTGGATCAGTTGTTGTTTCCTGATGAAAATGGTGATATTACAGTTTTGGATGTTGCTGAAGATCCAAGTGCTCCTTTTGGTGTAAAATTTGAAGATCAAGACTGGCAACAACATCTATCGTATGTCTTTTTTCTTTCTCCCGAATTTCCCATCCTCCCCAGAGCTTCTTTAAATATAATAATAACTAATAAATGCGTTTGCATGCATGCATGCATACATGTATGTATATATATCAAATAGGCGGCTTAAACCATTAGGACTTAATCTATTACTTAATACAAATTGTGGTGTGTTAAAAGGCCGTGAACTAACAGAACAGCATCGAAAATACTCCAGTTTATACCTTAATGCTAAAACTAAGCCTTCAAGACAAAGTAACTTAATCATTATTATATCTATTGTTATAAATATGACTTTTCAAGGATATCAAGTGATATATATTTTGTTTCTTTTGTACTATATATAATATTGAAGCTTGTATGTGTAGATTAGGAAAAGAAATAGGGTTTACTGTGGATGCATTGCAAGTATTTTCAAAAAGAAAAGAAATTTTTACATGTGCACCATGTCATCCATCATTAAAAGAACGCGTTAGAAATGATAGATGGGAAGTTCCTAGTATGATATCTTCTATATATGAAGAAACTGATGCAGGTAATTTTAATGTTGTAAATATATACGTGTGATTATAAATACGATTTATGTATTTGATTTTTTTTTTTGGCGGTGTTTACGTTTTAGGGAGCTATCAGTTGTTGTCGGATGGAAATTTAGAAATAATTCTCGATAATTGTTCAGATTATTGGGATGGACAAGGTCTACGAGCAATGAATCAAGGGGTACTTATTTAATTATAATATTTTATTATATATATATATATATGAATATTTGATTGATATTTTTATCTCCTTTTTCTTTTCCTTCCATCATTGATCAACCATTCATTTATTTTGTTGATAGATTTTAAACAAAATTTATGATTGTTACGAAAATGCAATTGTAAATGATATGCAAATAGTAGCATATGCATATCGTCCAATTAGTGTCGAGAACAATAATCGAATTCCATTTTTGTCTAAAGCACCGACTGATTCACATTATTTTGTTTTACCAAATGTACCAGATGAACAAGAGATAATATCTTCATTAGAGGTACAGGAATTGTTATCGGAAGATCCTGATTTGTCAAGGTCACAATTGATTAGATTGCATCGTTTAAAAACTGGACAATTGGATGCAAATCTTCATGACTTCTCATTTGAGGATAATGTTTCAAGAGAAGATGAAGAAAAATTTTATCAGGACGTTATCCAAGGCCAGATATTTCTTTCTATGGCTACTGTTTTTCATCAACCAAAATTAGTATGAATTACTCTTTTTTTTTTTTGTATAAGCAATTATTACAATTGTTGATGATTGTTGATAGGATTGTTAACGATTTAATTAATTCATATGAATGTATAGGATGTTTGTAATTTTATTGAGGATTTGAAATTGGCTGGTATACGTTTTGTTTTATTTTCACAAACTGCAGAAAGAGAGAGCAAAGGTTAGTTATTATACCAATTTGTGTCCCTTTATATATTATTTTATTTTAATGTCTCATCAGATATATATATTATGGTGATGATCTAGCATATGCTGAAAGATTGGGTCTTGAAACAGATTGGAATAGTTGTATATTATTGTCATCTTCTGGTGACGAAAATTCATCTGGTGATGGTTATTTGGAACCACATGATATAAAAGCACGGCTACCACGTGGCATTGAGAATATTAAAGATCATTTAAAAGACGTTGATGATATTCCATTACATGTTTCTTTATTTGCCGAATGTACGCCAGAAGCAAATCTTGAAATGATAAAGATTTTTCAAGGGTATGGTGAGGTAGTTTGTTGTATTGGTAGCGCACTAAACTCTTTTAATACACACGCATTTGCTGCAGTATGTATATTTTTAAATAGTAATATTTAAATGTAAAGATGTGATCTATATATCTATTATTTATGTTGAAATTTTTTTATTGTAATTTAGGCAGATGTAAGTGTTGCAATGGAACCGACACATACCAAAGCACAAACTAAAAATGGACTTTGTCATTATGGGATTAAAGGACAATCGCCTATGGCATTAGGAGCATCATTTACAACTTTGCCATGTGGACTATTTATGCATTACGATACTAGTCTTTATGCTTTAACAGATTTGATTCGTGAAGCAAGAAGATTAATTAATGGCTTAAGATTGGTATACTGCGATATGCATATATTCATACATATATTTCTTATATTCAATCATTAACGACACATATTCATGAATTTTATACTAAATAATAGGGAGTTGCATTTATGATTGGATCATTATTATCAATTTCTTTACTTTTGCTATTATCTTATTGTTTTTTTTTGCCTCCAGTATTTACTGGATATCAAATATTATGGATTATGTGGGCAATAATACCAACATTGACATTTTCATTTTTGTTTAATCCACACGAATCTGATACAATGACTACAATGACTGGTAAATTTTATTATTTACAACTATAAAAATTTTTTATTTGAACTTCAAATTATTTATACTTATTTCATTATCATTATGGTCATGTAAAAAAAAAAAGTCAAGAATAATGAACATTTAAAAGATTTACCAAGATTTTTGGTTTATTTCTTTTTAAGATTTTCATTGCCTGTATTATTTTGTCTAGGAGCATTTATAATGTATGTAAAATTATTATATATATTGTATAATTGCTATTGTTTCATGTAACGTATATTTATTAATCTTTCTAAATTATTTTATATTAATTATAGATGTTTGTATTATTTTGATGAAAGATCAGACGTGTCTTTAATATTTGGATCTTATGGAAATCAAGGATGGTTGAGATGGAGTAATAAAGAACAATGGGTGGTTTTTTATTCACAAAACTGTACTTTATTTTTATTTGTTTGGTATTTAGGTAAATTTAATCTTGAATTTTTTTTTTAATTTGAAAAATTTTAAAACATAATAATTGATAATAACAATCGATGATTTGTTGTTTAATGTTCAGCATGTATTTCCTGTACGTTTGTACACAGAACAAAATCATTGAAAGAATTTATCCCTTTAAAAAATAAAGTTTGGATAATTGCATTTTTTGCAAGGTAAAGTAAATTAAAAATTAATAACTTATTTATTTATTTTTATTTATTTTTATTGCTATTTGCTTATAATTCTTTAATTCTTCCTAATCCATAGTATTACGCTCCAAACAATATTTACACTAATATCGTTATTACTATCATCATATTCTTTCTTGCAAAATATACCAACCTATTTCTATACAATTGCATTTTTATCTCCAATAATTTTCATACCAATTCAAGAATTAGTTAAATTACATGATAATAAAGAGTACACCAGATTTCAGAAAAGGTCTAAATTGGAATTTAATACTAAATTAGGTATGCATTCTCCTGTGTAATTGTTAGTTATATGTTTGTGTGTTTAATTATATAAATGTAGTGCTATATATTATTCACCATTAAAAAAATAATAAAATATACATTGTTGTCTTTATCATCTCTTGAAAAATCTTTATCTCTCCTACTCGTGGATAAAGTTTAAAAATGTATATTAATAATAAATGCGATGAATATCACGTGTCCGAAAGAGGCCAATCAGGTTTTATGAGGCGTGTAAATATAAACTTTGCGCGCTTTGTAGTCGGACAAAAATAGTGTGTTAAAAGTTTCATATATTTATATATATAGCACGTTACTAGTCCTTGGATCCCCCATCGAATTATCGATATATTTTGGTGATTTGTTAGAATTGTCAAACAAGGAAAAATAATATTTTTATTCGATAAACTAAAGGAAAACAAAGAAACCAAAAAACCTCGAGGCAGAGAGAAATTTGAAAGCTTTTCTAGTTAATTGTTTAACTTTGTTTGTTGTTTAACTTTGACTTCTATTTGTATTTATTTATTACTCAGTAATTTCCTTCCTTGCCACCATCAAGTGATCAACTAGAACAAATCTTACGTAGTAAATTTCACAATTCAAGACAATTAATCATAACGTTGAATGGAAAAAATGTTTTGGTGTTAATGCCGACCGTAGCGGCAAGAGCTTGTGCTATCAATTTCTTGCGATTGCAGAAAGCGAAAGAACAAAGGAAGAACAGTCGTGATATCACCACTAATTGTAGGTTAAGTATATAACCTAAAGAACAGGTGTGGTATATCAGCGTTATATCTATAGTGAACAAAAGGTTAACGAAAACAAATACAAATTCTTATCGTAAATTAGCGGATCACGAATATATTTTGTTCAAATGCAAGATGATGACGATACAAAAAAATTATGGTTGGTTCTATAACCAAAAAAAAATTTTTATAAAACTGTAATCTCTGAGTAATAAATATAATCTATTTATCAATTTGAATCAAAAAAAAAAGAATTACTTTCTTTTGGATTTGGTGATTTGTTTTCTTTCAATCGGAACAAACTCCAGAGCTTGACCATCATATCTAATAAGAAAAAATGAGATCAATAAAAAATAGATATTTATAATATGCAAAAAAACAAAATTATTATTATTAATTGCTTTTTTTACCGGTAATCATAAAACAATTCTTCGCCAGGTTTTATAAGTTGAGAAGCATAAATAGCAATATGATGTTCCCCATTTGCCATAACCACTATTATTTATTGATTTAATTAATATTTGTGATTGATATCACAATTGTATTTTTAAAAAATTTATATGACACATACCACGGCAATTTGTATTAGGCGAATTTGAATGGTTTATGAATCTTAATTTGTTTCCTTTTCTAGTGGCATCGATAACTGTGTCTAATTAAATAAAACAATGAATTATATAACAAAATTATAAATATTTGATTATTCAAAAAACCCAATGTTCTAACCTATGTTCAGGTTAAACAAGAAACTACAACGACGCTTATCGTAGATTTTCCCTCGTCGATCAGCTTCTGCATGTGATATAATCTATGAAATATTAATATATATTTTTATTAATTAACTAATATATAAAAATAATGGCTTCATTACTTACTTCACCAAGGTATTCACCAATGTACTCGCTCTTTCTGGCTTCTTCTCGCATAAATAGTCCCCAACCCGCCACTGTTGATAGACCAATTATAGTTGACTGTTGAGATAAATGATGCATGTTAACGTTAACTTTTTATATATATATACACAAGTAGAAATATATATATATATATAATATTTATTGGAGAGTAAAAAAAAGAAAACAATACTTTGGAACGTCCCCGCTGAACCATGACATTTTTACAATAAGCATCGGAATTATAAACGCATTGCACTTAAATTGAATCTTTAATCAATATTGTAATAGATATCCACACGTGTACATAATTATATAATGAAAAATGAGTAAATTATGATTACCTCCAGCTGGACATTTACATATATCAAAATCACACTCTCGATTATGTTCAAAACAGGAACATTTTTTTGTTCCACAAACATTATCTCCGCTATAACATTTACAACCTTGAAATCTTCTTTCACCTTTACCAAATAAATAAAGTTGTTAATAATGATATATAATCGTTCAAAATAAATAAAATAATAAAAACATACACTTCTTCTCACAGTGACAATACTTTTCACAGTGAAGATTTCCTTTTAAACAGCTACATTCAGCACTCGTACAATCTTCACCAGGGTGATAGCATGGACTATACTCTGCTTGTTTATAGGCATCATTCTCTTTTTTTAACCAGAAATTAATTTAATGATTGTCAACAATAGATAATCAAATAAATAACTTTTTTGAAAAATACCAATTATTACTGCTCTTTTTGATGCTTTTTTATTAATTATTCTTGGCTCTTCATCATTGATTGCAATAATATTACCAACAAATTGTGATCTCTGATAAACCTTTTATATTATTAAAAAAACCAATCATAATTCAGATTTAAGTTCAAATATATATATATATATATATATATATATATATATACATATATACATACAATTTACCTCTTTACAAAGCTTAGATTTGATTATAGTGGCTAATGTACAATAACTTTTGGTACCAAACACTTCACGTAATTTATTGAATAATGTAATTTCTTCATCATTCCACTCAGATTCCAAACTTTGTTCATTACAATCAACTTCCTCCGTCAAGTAACGATAACAGTTTTTTTTGCATGGTTTTTCGTTTAGTTTAGGAGCTGGATGAAGTTTTTTCGTAACTTTTTGTGGTAATTGATTAATACCTATTGAGGTGGAAAAATAAAAATTCTTTAAAGAAAAAGTAACACCAAAAAATAAATATATATATCATTAATGTTATTAACCATGTAGTTTGCAATTATACATATAGCACCGCAGACACCATAAACTTTTAAAGGCTTCAGAAATATCCTCTCCATTAATTTTATCCGATGGGCTATTAATTATTTTCACATTTAAAATAAATAATAAATAAATTTATATATATAATCACATTAATATTAAATATTTTTACCTAAACTCTTTAACACGATCCTCTATCTCAGTTTGTAATTGTTTCTTACATTCTACGTATCTTTTTTTTTGGGATGTTAGATAGATGTAAATATATGAGTCAATCACACATAGAATAATTATTTTATTGTACCTTTGTAATAATATGTAAACATCACTTTTATTGATGACAGAAGGAAATGAATTAATAATTTCATCAATAATAAAGTCACGATTTTTCTTTGTGATAATGACTTTAAGACCTGACTTTCTTTCATTGAGAAAATTTTCGATTACATTTAGTTCAATTTCAGATTGATTGAAAAAATGATCACAAGTTTTGAAGAAGATTTTTTCCACTAGAATATATATAATTTGAATGAAAACATATAATAAATAAACTTTAATTCTCATTAAATAATAATAATCATCATCATTAGTAATAGTTATTATTAGCAGTGTTTACCATCCGTATCAAATTTGGAAGATCCAAAATCAACTTTATCAAAGACATCCATGTAAAAATCAATATCTAAATCATGTTCAGCACCTTCTCCAAAATAATAAAGATGTCTCAACACCGGATCATCTTTTGTCTATTATTAATTATATAAATAAAACTTGAAAATTTGGTGATATTATTATTAAATCACAACCATCTTCTTTGGTTATTATTATCATACCTTAATGTTTCTCACAACAGAAGTCCACATTGTGTATTTTGGAATGGGTTCAACATGGGGAATTGAGAATAATCGGGCTTTTATAAGCTTACTCTTAACAGGTCCATGTGGTTGGAAATCCTTTGAATCAATTAAAAAATATTTAATAGCAATGGAAAAAAAAAATCTTTCAATTTTTAATTTATATATGTTGAAAATTGTTTAAATTTACTTGAAATTTCAGCATAATTGATCGCTTTCCCATTGAATCATTGACTTTTAATAACTTGGCATGGTCAGAAAATGTTCTTCTTTTTGATGATTTTAATTGTTTCTCAAGAATTTTCTCATTTTCCTCAAGTAACAATTTGATTTTTTGTCTATTAAATTCAATTTGTTCCTTTAAAAGATTATCAAATTAAATAATAAGTTAGATGAAAAAAAATGCGTTTATTAAACTTGATTTATTTATTAATATATTGTTGTTTTTCATCAACCTTGCTCTTAGCTTCTTTGTATTGAAAATGTTTCAATGCTATACTTTCATATTGTTTTGCGAGTTTGTCTTTTAGGTCTTGATTATTATTCATTTTTTTAAAAATATTTTTACTCGTGAAAATGACAAAAACAAAAAAAAACAGCGAGACGCGTTTGATAATCACGTACTGTGCCACGTACCGAGTTTTTATGATCTACCACACTCAAACCTCGATAAGTCGAACCACTATAAACTGATTTTCGCTTTATAACGATTCAACCAAAATCATAATTAATAGAATTAAGATTTGATGTTGATGATATAAACCAATTTTAAAATTCGGCTTATTATTATTATTATTATTATTATGATAAAAATCGGGTTACAATTGCCTTAAAAGTAAATATCTACACGAATAGCAATCATAATGCTAATTGCAAACCATCATAAACCGATTTTTGTGATTTCCCAAAAGTTCGGCCTATCGAGGGTTGACTGTACTATTACTATATTTTGACTCGAGAAATTTTGGTAAATCAGAATATTCCGTTTAAGTAGTTAAATTATATATAATAAAATTATCCAGCTTCAAAACCTTATAACTTTCTTCATTGCAAATAATTCAAAAAAACTTACAATTTTTTCAGATCTAGGATATTGCAAAAATAGAAAGTTTTTGGTGAAATAGTCCATATTTAGAAATGCGACAACATTTAAAGTTTAGCAACATTTTCGGATGACCTGCACTATATTTTATTTATTATATTCATTTAAAAGCATAGATATCGTTAAAATAAAACATAACATCAATATTGGTAAAATAATCTTGTAAAGATTTTTCCTTTTGATTTTTTTTGTATTGCTGATTTACGTTTTTTGGTATTTCTATTAGGGTTTTTATTATTTTAATGCATGCGCTATTTCGTCCTTTGCTTTATTAATTCCATTTATACGTGTATATCATGTTGCTGTATATAGATATATGGCTGATGGCACACTATGCGATCTTTGGTCAAAAGATTGACAACATAATGGAGAAGGTGCACTAGATTGCAACGATAATGATTGCGCTTCGAGAAATCCCTACGACCACGCTCGCTTTATTTCAACAGAAGGACAACACTGGGTCCGTGCGTGTGTTGAGTTTAGCACTGAAAATGACAAATTCTGTGGTCCATTTAATAAAGATCCCTGCTTCCATATACATGGTAGTGAAGACATTGAAAGTTTATTGCTCGAGTTTTAGTGGTTTATCCGAATCTCTACGATTATGATTGCCAGTCTTGATTTTCTTATCTTCTTGTCACTTCAATTGTTAATATTCTTACTTATATTTAATTTAATAAAGTCCTGTACCTTCGAGTGTATTTTTCATTCAATTCCACATAATTGTTCCTCGATGCTTTCTTTACTGAACTTTTTATGATTTCTAATTTCTCTGAGAGAGGCTATATAATTAATTGATAAGCCTGTAGATGCGAAGTGAAGAAGTTATTAAAAATCGACAGCTTATATGTGCTATTGTGAAATTCGCAACATCCTAGACTAATAGTCAATCTTTTTGATTACTATGAAAAATAACATGGAAAAAGTACTAAACACCAATACATGCAGAATTCAAAACAGCAAACATATTAATATGTATAAAAAGTACGGAATCAGTACTAGCACTGAAAATCAAATACGGAAATAGCATGTAAACAATATTGTATAATAAAGTAATTATATCATAAATATTGATTGTTATATAAAACTTATATTTTGAATATTTTATGGGAGAAGGAATAAACTGCTTATTATTACAATTTGATTATAATGAATTAAAAAACCGTATTACGACCAACGTTTGCATTACCAACATGATCATAATTTCCACTCGAGATTTCTGTTGAATAAATAGATAAATTTTTCTTGTAGTTAATTATATCCCATTTAGTTTTAATATATTTCAGAACTTTGAATCAGAATTTGTATCACGGATAGTATTTTTAACATAGTATCTTCGATTTCTTTATCAGTGAATTATTACTTGAAATAAAATAAAAGCACATTAAATTATATAGAATCTATTAAAACAATTAATTTTTTCAACAGAATCGTCATTCAATTTTAATCTCCAGATTCAACAGAATGATTATTTCTAGTATCAATTTCATTAATAGAATTCAAGTGTAGTTCGACATGAATTTGATCCTTCGACAATTACATCCTGACTCTGTTATACCGGCATATTATTAAAATTTACATTATTAGTAATTATAAATTATTGATATTAGTTTTATTTATAGATTCTCAACAATTTGATTAGATACACTTGATCAATTAAGTTACGAATATACAGTATTTTATTTGTTTGTTAAGCTTTATTGTTAATATATTTTATTATGTTTGAGAAATATTTTTTTGAATTACTCAAAATATATATATTAATATTATTAGCAGAAAATTCGAATTGTTGAGAGACTTTGTTTTTAATTAATAAATTTATTAACTATATTTATCAAAATTAGAAGTGGTGACTGATCAATATTAACAAAACGTTTTCAACAGATTTTATTATTTAAACTCAGAGTCTTGGAATTTCAAATAATTATTCAAAATGGAAATAACTTCAAATAATGAATATTCAAATAGAAGAAAAGAAGAAGATGGTGAACGTTCAACTTGTAATAGATACAATACTGATTATACATGGTGCAGATAATGTGGTCCACGACTATTAACTCAAGAATGGACTACAGTCAAAATTCGTTAAATTCATAATTCCGGCACAGCAAATTTTATCGAATTATTCCATGAGAATATATATTTCTATAAAAGGATAAGATTTTCAGAAAAAAATGAACGAGATTGGGTGTATACTCATATATGAATTTAAAGAGCGAAATTTCATACATGGTGACATATACAAAATGTCAGAGATTTATGAATTTATCAAATTATTACAATCATCGAGATTTGGTTATTACTATTATCGAATAAAATTTTAATATAAGTGGCACTGGTTCCTGAAAAATTATGATTTAAGGAATTATGAATTTATCGCATATGAATTTAACGAGCTTTGACTATAGTGGTAATGATGCATTAGGTGAAGTAATTAAAAGTTCACAACTTAAAACAATATACTATGATAATTGGAGTTATCTTCAATGGATTCCTTACGAAGATTTGAAAGTACTTGAAAGGATAGGAGAAGGCGGATTTGCAACCATATACAAAGCTACTTTGATAAATGGCGATAAATCTGTGGACAAGGAAAATAATAAAATAAATTGTAAAGAGAGAGTTGTTGCATTAAAAAATTACATAATTCTCAAATATTTCAGAGGAATTTTTAAACGAGGTAAATAAGTTTATTAGTATTTTTTTCAGTTTTTTTATAAATATCATTACTGAAATTAAATATCTATATCTATATATTTTTAGTTCAAAAATTATGTTAAATTTCATCTATCTCATATAATTCCTAATTCCTATTTTATGGGTTGACACAAGACCCAATTATAAAAGAATATATAATTGTAATCAGATATATATGGAAGATGGAAGTCTTCAAAATTATTTATCAAAAGAATTTAAAAGCTTGAGATAGGATAAAATAGATTTTATTACTTATATTATTGATGGTTTATGGGAAATCCGTAATGAAGAAATCTCCAAATGAAAATAATAGAGTACTATTATATATGGCGCCCGAAGTCCTAGAGGTAAACCATACTCGATATATAGTTTTGGTGTATTGATGTCAGTAATAGTAATATCAACTGGCCAACAGCCATTCAGCAATTTATTACATGGTACAAGTCTTGCAATAAAGATATGCAAGGGAATAATACCAGGTTTCTCAATAACACCCCAAAACTTTATATTCATTTAGCATATAAATGCATGGATGCTGATCCATATAAACATCCCAATGCTAGTGAAATTAGAAAAAAAAATCTTGATTTTTGGTATGCATCATTAAGGGATGAGCAATGATGATAAATCCCAAGAGTAAATTAATGAGATGAAGTCAATGAAGAAAATATTTGATTTATCAACAATTACAGCAACTTTACATCGTGATGCAGATTATTAAAATCAACAGATCTCCTCAACCTGTAAATTCCAATAAAGTTACAATTATTAATAATAACAATAACGGTGATTATTAACATATTGGTTTATTATACATATTAATTATTGAAATTAATGCATAATTCTAGATTCTCAACAATTCGATTTGGATGCATTTGATCAATTTGCCCAATTAAAATTACATGTTTGATATTGTAATTGGTTTTATTTTATTTGCCTAACACAGTTTTACATACATTATCAGCAGTAAATGTAATTGAAAATTTTTAAAACATTTAAATTGCCAATTATTGTATTTAAAATAGAGAGAGATAAGGTTTGAAAAAAAACGTACTTTTAAAAATCCGGATTTCCCCTTAACCTCTGGAAAAAGAAAGATTGCCAAATATTTTTCCCTTTTTTTTAGAATATTCCACCTGCATGCATGCCAATTGATGAATGAGAAAGATGATCGACATATGCGGAGGAAAATTGTCACAAAAATAACCAATCGGGTACCTTTGCATGAAAATTGTTGTTTCTACACTTTTGTCATAACTTTTTTTTATTGTGTGTGCATATAGGAAAAAAGTCAAGTATTATCGGTATATGGTTTTTTTCTTTGCTTTTATTGAAAAAAATTTTTTTAGTGTTTCCGCAGCAAGTTCATTCATTCATAGACGGATTGTTGTATATTATGTATCTTAAAATAAAATTACAGACCAATTTTTCAGATAATGTCGTCATTTCAATTTTTTTGTAAAAGAACAACAGCCAAGATCATAAGTTGCATTTTTAAAATAAAAACATGTATTTGCCCAATTTCAAAAAAGACTGCTAAATAAATTGAAATTAAAAATATATAGTAATGAGGAACAAGATGATGCATCTCTGGGATGATAGCAAATGGACCAGGTGAGTAATCATCTAGTTTTAATGTAACAGTGACTTTCTTTCTAGGATATCTAGTTCATGAGGAATTTCCACGCGAAAATCCTCACAAAAATGTAAGACTGACCCCTATCTAAAGCACAAAAAATCATCAAGGCTTTAATGCTGATAATACTTCTTTAAACGTCGATGCAAGTAATGATGATTCTTGGACGAAACAATTCATCAAAAAATAAATTATGATACTTTTGAGAATGATTTTAACTCAGTTTACATTCACTATTTGACAAAATGCAAGTTCATCAAGTTCTAATTCTCTATATTTTCTTTATTACACAAATTCCATGGAAAAAATTATTGCATTATTTCGTTGTTTGGCGCAGCAATAGAATTATATCACAAGCTCACCAAAAAACAATCATGCCACGCTTCAAATAATCCACACCGGTTAAATAATACTGGTTAAATTCAAGTTAAACATAGCTGTTTGTCACTTTTTGACCTGTTATGGTTTATTAACGTGATATTCATCTTATAATCAATAAAATAATATCATGGAATGTAAGTTAATTCCTCTCTGCTATTGTATGTAACAGTTACTTATTTCATAACTATTATTATCAAGTTTTTTCTGGATATAAATAAATATGGTAAAAACAATAAAAGTTGGTGACCACAATTGTGGTTCTTAAAGAGAATGAATATGGGTGATAAAATGGGATTTATTTGTTCCTTACATTTAATAATATTATAAATTTTTTCTAAAAGTGATTCTTTGCATATTTAAATGTATGATTTTTATGCCTATAATTCATTAAGTAAGCAAAAACTGGCGGTTCAATCATGTCTTCGTAAGTTAATATAAATCGATTTGCATAGTTGATATAAAAAAATTTTTTTAAATTAAATGACGGATCACGTATCAAGTTTTTATCTAGTTATTCTTAATAATCAATCTAAAATGGACCTTTTGATGAAAATTTTTTCTTGAACGAGATTTTTCTGTTCTTAATATCCATTCCATTTCACCTTATCATTATGCAGTTCTATGCATCCTGAAAATAATACTTTGCGAATCGCTACATTTTAAAAAAGCACTCGCGTGATTTTAATAAGCTGCATAGATGGTTACGAAGAGATGAAAATAAAAGATGCGTGAAAGAAGTGTTATACCCATTTTGTGTTAATATTGCAGTGATCCGCGAGCTGATGACGATGGGCTTAAGATCTATAGTGGTTTCTCCCCCACAATTGGTGAAGAAATTCCAAAACTGGAATTCCAATATGACTGATTATATGTTCTATTAATGACATTTATTCACAATGATTGTCTACGAAAATATAAAAGGTTTAAATCTTGTATAATCAAATCAAGGTTCATACAAAAAGAAGCAAAGAAAGAATTGGAACCACCAGAATTCCATCAAAGTTAGATTAGAAACTGATAACATTTTAATGAATTACAAAGAAAATAATGTAGCTGGTTGATATAAAAACAAAATAATTAAATCCAATTATATTATTATCATTTGACACCATATACTAGATCTTGTGAAAGAATATGGATTATTTGCTAAAAAAAAAAAGAGATGTTTTAATTGCTAGACGCGTCGAAAATACATATAGTAATAGCATCAGTTTTTTTAGATGCTTTAGAATCATGAAATTCCGCATGTGTAATATCCAAAACCGTAGCTTTCATTTGACATGATTTAATAAATTTTTATTGATAATTCATTAAGTTTCATATGCACAACTAAACTATAAAATGACATTTTTTATTTATGCAGATACTTTCTTTCAGGTACTGTAATTATCACGTTTCAAACTGTATGATGAAAAATAATATGAAATAGGAAGAGGAAGATGACGATGATATAAAAGTGACGGAAGAAAAATAACAATGATATCAATAGTAACTAGGCGTATTTAGAACCAACCATATGTTTCTAATCATTGAAAAAACAACAATAGACTTGTATCATCTAAATGACGTTTATCTGACGAGAAGATATACTTCTTGATAACTGTGATGGGAAGATTATCTATTACAAATTTGTTTTATTATTTTTCATATATATTATTTTCTAATTTAGTCCACTTACATAATAAAAATTACTTTAATGACCAGTATTAATAATTTCAATATTTCATAGTGTATAATAATAAAATTCGATTACTATTACGCCACATATACTTACGATTTGAAATTTTATTAATAAAATCAGCTCTTGTGTTCATCAAAAATTAAGGTTATTAATAAAGATCTTGGGGTCAAGTTTATCTACCAAACTACCATATTTGGAAATTAATTATCTCTTTTTTGGTCATTCATTACGCCTGAAGATTTCCTGTCCACACTTTTTCCTTTTTGTGCAAAATTTAATGTTTTTTTTGGGTTTTTTCCCGCTAAACAACATCCACATAAATGGAAGCTTACAATAGTCAAACATTCATCAAGTTTGTAAAGGTGTAATAATATATGTTGGATAAAAATTTTAATTTTGAAGTAAAAAGTAATAATGTTTTGAATAACTACAACTTTATATGGAAAACCTCTTTATCAATATGAGAGAACTATAACGTCACCGTTTATTTTGGATTAATAATTATTAAATGATGTTAAAATCCGCAGATAATTCCATATTTGGATAAGATACGATTGTAATAGTTGAATTTGGGACCATTATTGTAACCGGAAATTTGTTTTCATGTGAAAAATTAGCCAATTTAAAGGAATTTCAAATAGTCCATAGATTTCAATATTTACCAAAAATTTTTATTGAAATAACGGCTAACTGCCGTGCGAGCATCATTTTCCATATTTAATTATAGATTTAAAACATGTAATTTCTTTATTGATACCAATTTTGGGAATAACGGCCAACTGCTGTGCGAGCACCACCTTCCATATTTAATTATAGATTTAAAAACATAATTTTTATTGATATCCAATTTTGGAATAACGACCTTCCATATTTAAGCAGTAAATTTAAAAAAAAACATAATTTATTAATATCAATTTTGGAATTTTGAAATGACGGCCAACTGCCGTGCGAGTACTACATACAAATAATAAATTTCCCAATGTTTTACGAACAATAATCATTATAAATCAATAATAGTAAATTATTAATAAAAAATTGTAAACATACATATTTGAAAAAGTAAACGATCTCAAAAATTGTTCTAATCAATTAATCGTTTATTTTGCAAAGTTTAATCACATAAAAGTGATTTATATATTTAAAAATTTTTGCTAAAAATTTATCAACAATCAATTCAATTGTCCGAGTTTTGATCTTGTTGAAGGCTATGTTTGATGTAACTATCACTAGTTAATATTGTTGCCTTTTTGTCTTATTCTGTGCGTAATTATTTTATAATAATGAATTTTTTTGTAAAAGTAAAATCAGGTTTTCTATCGAATTGGCATCATTCATTTAATGATTCTTAATTAGTATTTATTATCACATACATCTAATTTGTTAATCTAGTTTAATCTAATTAATCTAGTTAAACTAATAAAAGCTTTTTTCCTTATTGTAAAGATATCTAGAACATCTTCAAAGTTTTAGATCCATCTTCATCTTACAATTTCGTGAAACTTCATCATGTATTTAAACTCCTCGAATCTCTTTGGAGTTGAGAGTAATTGTTGATTTTCAATGTCTCAATAATCAAACAATTAACATAACGATGAATTTTATATCACCTGTACACGAATAATTCGTGTCACTTTATTATACCATAATCGGTGTGAATGGAAGGACTATATCTATACGTCTGTCGTACGACAGATTAGTTAGAGTCATCCATTTTTATTTCTTATTATAAAAATAAATGTCAGAGACAAACAATTTTGTTTTAACTGTTCGATCTGGAGGCCAAACAGGCGCTGATAGAGCAGCTTTAGATGCTGCTCTACATTACAATTCCACTAAAAACTTATCTAATGGCGAGAAAAAATCTCTCATCGTTAATGTTACTGGTTGGTGTCCAAAGGGTAGACTAGCTGAGGATGGTACCATCTCACCGCGATATCCGCTAAATGAAACACCTAGTTCATCGTATGCTGAGAGAACGGAGTGGAATATTCGTGATGGAGACGCTACATTGGTTCTGTTATTATCTGCCACTACACCGCCTGATTTTGGAACGAGTTTTACTATTGAGAAAGCGAATGAATTTAAAAAGCCTTCAAGAATCATTTTTCTTGATGACGATATCATGCATAACGCTCGTCAAGTTATTAATTGGATGAATGTCAACCAAGTCAACGCGCTGAATGTAGCAGGTCCTAGAGAAAGTAATTGTCCTGGACTTTACAACAAAGCAAAAAAATTTATGATTGCCTTGTTAGATGAAATAAATAAAAGCGGCAAGGTAAGCAAGGTAGGAGGCGAACCACCTTTAATAAACTAAGAGTGCAATAGAATATTCATTATGTGTTTTATTTCTTATTTTTTGTAAGTTTTTATCTTTGAAAAGATGTATGTTTAAATACTTTATTTAAATACTTATTTATTTATTTAAGTTTAAGTTTAAAATAATTTAATAATTAGTTAATTAGTTAAGTTTAAAATAGATATAAATAAAGACAGATATTTTAATTTATTGAGTTGATTTTATAGTTTAACTTAAATAAATAAAATTTTTTATCAATGAATAACTAAATTAGTTATCTTCATCTTCGACTAAATATAATTAATTAATTTAATAAATTCAATGAATTACATTTTTATGTTTAACGAATATAATAAAATTCTAACACTTACATGTGTAATCATCAAAATCCGGAAGCACGAGTCCAAGTTGTTTAGATTCTGGTTAATAATTAAAACCAAAATTTTTATAAAACTTTTTTATTTTCATGTTCAGGAAAAAACAATGTAATTACCTGCGGGGGTATAATTAACAGGGTTAGGAAGATTTCCATAATCCAAAAGTCTACTTGTATAAATAGCTTGGGTATGCGTGGCATAACTTAGTTTGGTAGATTTGTTTGGTTTGTAACCCGAAGACTCAGTAGATGCTTCAATTGCTTCGATTTGTTGATAAATTTTTGCCTCCTTATTTTTAGCGTGCACATCTTTATAATATTGAGTCAAAATATCAGTCAATTCTTTAGAGGATACCCGATTGTTAGGTTCTGCATCTAAGCAACTATTCACCAAATCCAAGAGCAGCTGAGGAACTCGATTTTTGATTTTAGGACGAAGGCCCTGACAAACGAGTATTGCGAGATGTTCATTATGTGGAATATCATGATAGGGCGGATAGCCTGTAAATACTTCTACCATGATAATTCCAAATGAATACACATCAGATGCACTGACATATTCACCCCCTCTCAAAACCTCTGGTGCAACATATGGAAGGACGCCATAAACTTTTTTTGATTCGTTGCTTTGAGAAACTGGTTTGCACAAACCGAAATCTGTAATGAATGAAGAAAATCTATCACCCATGACTATATTACCAACATGAAAATCTTTGTGTAACAATCCTGCTTTGTGAATATCAGCAAGGCCATTGGCTATAAATAATAAGCTATTTAACTTGTTGTCCCAACTTAATTCATCGTAGTTTTTGTCTAGATTTTGTCTAAGGCTTCCTTTCACTGCATATTTCAAGATAATCATATAATCTTCTTTACTTGGATCTTTGGTAATGCCATAGACCGGAATTGCGTTCCCATTTTTTCTGAATTTAAGTTGGTTTCTTATCTGAAAAAAAAAGCAAATAGCATATATAAAACCCGAAAAATATATATAAATTATGCATTTGAGTTATTGTCGTTACCTCTTCAAAAAATTCGCTTGTCATATTCGCGGAATCGTTGAAACTTTTTAAACAAACAAATCCATTGTTTCCCCATGAATCTACACCGCTTCTTCTCCATTCTTGATCTGTGCTGGACCACCACTTGATATATCCATCAGCCCAAGTAGCCTTGAATACTGTGCTAAAACCCCCTTTGGCAAGATACTCTATGTTTTCAAATTTGTCATAATCAACCCATTCAATAAGTTCATACATGTCATTTGCTTTAAGTTGTATTTCCTGGATAAATTTGTCAATTTCTTTATTACCACTTGTCCAGCTGCCAAATTTACTTTTAAATCTTTCGGCATTACAAGATTTGCACCAATTAGTTCCTGTATTTGGTTGTTGGCAATCTTCACATCTTCCATACTCTTCGAGACAATGCTCCAATTCTTCAAAAGATCTTACCTCATTGGGATTACTATTTAATTGAACATCTTTAGTAGAGCTTGATGAATCTTTTTGTTTGTCACTCATTTTTCAATCTATACAAAAAAATAACATTTTCATCAAGAAAGTTTTAGCCTATAAAATTTAATGATAAACTCCTTATCTTAAATTATATAACGACAATGGCTACCAAAAGGCATTAATGATTAGATACTTTACCAATAAAATTGCACAAGTTATGAAATGCGCAAGTAATTTAGGTCGATAATTTTTATATTGATGAATCACTATATGATGCTTACGTCAATCTCTTATACAATAGTAATTTACGTGTAGTCATACGAGTGATCCTTGAGTCTCCGGATTATATGTACAATGGCTAATAATAAATATTCAAAAACGTTATCCAATTCAAAAATTTGCTATATCCGCGTGTTTCAAAATAACATTAAAAAAAAGCAAAACTTCTTTACCTTTTTCTGGAAAACGTCTTTTAATACAGATATTTATGCAAAAATTATTAAAAATGAACTTTTTTATTATATTTTTTAAATATCAGGAAATTTAACCTTCACCCAACCAAAGAAAAAGTGGTTAGGAAATTTTTATTTTGTTTTTGTGTAAATTTTTTGATCTGTACATTTGGAAATTTGTCCCCAAAATTACTAAATTACTTCTAATTTCAAATTAATGACACACTGAACTCGTTACACGAACTTATAAACAAAGAAATTACATGGTTCATGTTTTGGTTGTAATGAGTGATCTAACTTCATAGGAAGGTAGAAGGCTAAAGTATGTCATCGTGTAAAAATAATTGATGGTTATATATGAAACTTGCAACCCTCGCCATATATTTACTTGATTGATGATGTTTTTCACCCACGACAATTTTGGTCTTCTGAAATTTGACAAGATATAAACCTAAGGTATATTCTGATGTAAAAATATATAAATATGATTGATTTAGTAATTACATTACGTATATTAAAATAATTTCAACAAAATTGTTTCTATTAGAAGTCTGTTATATATTGTAACCATTTAAAGCCCAATAATAAAGAGTTACAGATCATGTTGATTTGGTATTGTATGTATACATGTATGTATACATGTATGTATATATATGTATGTCATATTATGAATGTGACACATATAATACTGACTGTCAGTTAAATCCTTGATGGTATAATACCTATTTATTCTTTATTATTATGTTTTTGAGTTTCATGTCTCTGTAAACCATTAATATTTTTATATATACTCATAAAATACACTAATAAAAAATAAATAGTATTAAATTAAAAACTAAAAAATATTAAACAGTTGTCATGTATATTTAATATACTTCTTACTTGGACTTGGGATTTTGTATTTACATCGCGTGCTGCGCTGCTGACAGAAATTTTTTTATTGTGACTGGAGGTTGGAACCGGTTTTGAAGAACCAGTTTTAGCCATCTTTTCAAAATTAGAACAGGTTTAAGCCGTATTTAGACAAAACCGGTTTTAACCGGATACCCGGTTATGATATTACATTCATTCATATTCATTAAAGGTTAATTTTGTGGATGATCAGACGAAATAGGTTTTATACTAGCAAATAGTTGGGGGTTATTTGTTAATGGTAATAGTAATAGGATTGTTTTCCAAAGCCGAAACTTGTTATTATTTTCTTTATTCAAGAAAAAAAGTTATTTTACAACTATAGGAATTCGAGTTGCTTATATATATGTCCATTATTTATAGCATAATAATTACATGCAAACATTTATACTCGAACGCAATGTTATTACACTTGTACTACTTACCTGCACTGTTCTCATGACGCTATTGTTACTTAATATGGGAAACCTATCAAAGTGAACATCATGTCACAAGGAGATTTCAGGGATCAAAATTGGTGATAACTTAGAATCATGATAATTTACATATATAGTAAAAATCATGTTTTTTAAAAATGGACCAGGAAGGAAATTCATTCGCCTTTTAAGGTAAGATCTTGGGTAATTTTGCTAATTGAGCGGGAAATGGTTTATTTATAATTAACCAATGTCTTGCTTCTACACTGTAAATAATCTTTTGTTTATTGTTGTTAGCAAACACGTATAAACATTATCATCTTTTAAAAAAAGGATTAACTTTCAATTTCTTTAATAATACTAACGGACAACGATATTAGTGAGGTGCGTAATAACTCCAAAAAATCAATCATTCATTAACAACAAAATATTATTATCAACCCTGGCTAAATAAATAAGTTCATTTCCTGCATCTTTATCATTATTAGAACTTCATTAACAAATTGCTGTTGTTATTTCTATGAACTTTTAAAGCATGTTTTTTAAATAAGAATAAGAATTGATTTAAAAGGTTAAACTTATCAATGATCAATAGTTTTGGCTTGGTTTTCTTGTGGAGACATTGTAAATGCATTTTTTTATCCAAACACTTATTTATCTCTAAAATAATTTATTATGGCAGATGGTTCTTTAAAAGATTTAGAAAAAAGAAAACGATTAATATTAACGAGAAATGAATGAATTTTAATATCAGAATTCCAAACCACGGAGATCAAATGTTGAAAGAAACAATGAAAATTACAAAGAGTAATAGTTAGTGAATTGCATGAAATGGATAAAACATTTTCTTATTTAACGAGGATGAAAAATAAAAGTTGGTGATGATCAAATAAGACAACAATTTATCGCCAAAGTAAATTACCAGTAGGAATTAATCCATTGATTGAATATTTTGTTAGACAATATTCATGAAGCAATACTATCATAATTTTGAAAAAGAGGTTTGTTTTCACAGTCTTAGCAATTATTTAAACCTTAGAGATGCTAGAGGTTGTGGCCATGTGGAAGAAGGCTATGTTGCTAGTTATTTAGTTAACAAAAGAGTAATGAATGACTTCATCAGTAAAAAGACAAGGCTTTGGTTCAAAAAAGTGGAACTTAATTTACACAAACAACACAATTTAAATCAAGAAATCGAGGGAAATTTCAACCAATGAGCCTTTACCCAAGGAAGAAAATAAATTAAAGCAAGTCAGCAAAAAAAATATTCATATTAAAAAAATCATCTTTAAGCCCAAATAATCGAGTTGAAAGATAAGTTCCAACGTTAAAAAAAGGTGAGATTCTGTCTCGAATAATCGTAGTTGTAACTCAATTTCTAAACATTTTGGGAGTAGAAAAGTTTGGTGATGAATATGTCTGAAAAGGAAGCATTATTATTCGCTAATGAGGAACAAAATATAAAGGTAGCAAGGGTGTTTTTTTTTTAAATAAAGATCACACAGTTCATTCTGAACACAATGGTGTAGTAAAGCATTATAAAAGGAAGAGAGGTAATAGAACATTTGTAGAGGTTTTACATCTTTTCTAAACAAAAGGTTTTTATAAATAATTGTGTCAAAATCACAACAATTGAAAAACAAAATATTAAGCGATTAATCTAGTTGGGTGATAGATATTAGTGGAAGGAGAACTTTATAAGAATTAAAATGTTTAAGATAGTGACACTAACCTTGAAAATAAGGTAATCTGAATTTATTCTAGCATTTATGAATAATTAAGCAAATTCTCCAAAACTGAAAAATTAAGGAGTATAACAAATCGGGAGGAAGCATATTGGATTAAGTGTCGGATTAGCTGATGTAAGTTTAGATAACTTTTAGATTGTCAAAAAAAAACAAACCTCTCCCCAAAAGACAAGAGTATCTCGAAAATCCTTTCAATGACAAACTTTAATTAAATTAAAGTTTAAAAACAAGGATTAGTACATGTTTAACAGGAAATTTTTTGTAAAGGTTTTATTCGAACGAAAGTATACTTTTCACCTGAAAACAAATTTCAAATGAAAGAAGTTGTTTTCTATAAAGTTGGCATTGATATATTTGTTAAGTATTTACACGAACATATTTTAATATATATAAACGAAAGTTTTTATTTTTTTTACAAATAACTTTTTAAAAAAAAAGTATTTGATGAATATTGCTTACTTTAATACTTACGAACAATAATACTAATAAAAAAGTGAGTTTATGAAAAATTAGTCATGTTTTTCAAACTCTTTATAATAATTGCTAAAATAAGTTTTTTCTTTACTAATTTAGGGTTTAATAGCATCTTCACCTAACTTCTATTCTCTAACAAATAACAATTAAAAAATGTGTAATTTTTATACTTTTAAAAAATGACAACAATTGAAGATGTTAAACAAGAATTAAACGAGTATCAAGAGGCGAAGAAGTAGTTGGAAAAGTTGGGGGGAGGAGAGTGAAGAGAGAAAAATATTGGAGAAAAAAAAGAAGAGATTGAAGTTGGAGAAGGTTTTTGGAGAGGAGAAGTAAAGAAGTGGGGAGATGTGTTGCTGAATTTAATAAAGATGAGGTGATGAACAAATTGCATAAAAAAAATTTTTCACTAATTCCATTTCGTTTATTTATTTATCAATTTGAGTGAACATTTGATATACTGCTTACAACTTAAACTCTCTTTCCCTTGGTCATTTACTAATTTTAATTAAATATACAACCTTGTTTCATATCTTTATATTTATATATTCATATCATTACAACCGGCCATAACCGGGAAGTGTCTATCAACGTTTAGCTCTCAAAAAAAGAAATTTGCAGTTATCTTATTCTTTTATTCGATCAAGACAAAGAAAACTGGAAGGTTCAGACAAGGAAAGCAGAAGCCTAAAGAGAAGACAACAAACATTTGTGTAATATATACTGCTTGTAATCTTGATTTGTTTTTTAAAATTCACTTTTTATTTTATGTATTTTATATTTTTTTGATATTTAAGATCCCTGAAGAATTAGAAGAAGGTCGTGATGGCCTTACAGTTATAACACCTAAAAGGTTGAAGCGGATTACTGAGTTTATGGAAGATAGCAAGATTACCCTTTTGCGCAGTCCTCCATCATCAGGAAAAAGTACTCTCGAAAGTTTTGATCTGCATTAGTCTTGCTGGATCAGAAATATACGATAACCTCTTTGACAATTTATGGAACAACAAGTGTGGTTTTACCTGGACAGGAATCAGTAAATATAAAAAGATTATATATGTGTTCATCAATTAGATACAGATTATCTATAGCAATGCGCTCCATTCTTTTGGTAATTTGAAGGAACTTCCATCAAGTGAATCAAATATTCATATAGTTTTGCTCAGTACATACCATTCCCAAATGACACCTGTGGAAATTTGTCGCACGCTTGGTTGAATGTCCTACTTTTAACATGGAAAAATGTTGTGTCCCAGCAAGATGATGTGATATGTTCTCATCCAGCATATTGTGAGATAGTAAATTGTGGACCGACCAAGGGTCCGGGACCAAAATTGACCAGCATCATGGAAAATTCTGGTAACACTTCCGTATAATGCTGGTCAATTCCTGATAGAATAATTAATACAATGTATAAAAAACATGAATGAAATAAAAAAAATATATAATAAAAATAAAAAATTATAAAATCACATGACAACGATTCTCATATGACTTCAATATGAACTCCCGTTATAATGACATTTTTGGAGAGTGTCGTTATAACGGGGGTGACTTGTATTATTATTATGATATTTCCAATAAATAATTCGTTGACCGTAATTAATTTCGTAATTACGTTTTTAAAGAGGGAAAGTGGTAATTAATTACGATAATTACACAATACGTATTTACGGTAATTAAGCAATTACCATCCCATGTATACTTATGAATGTAAAAAAAAAATCATTTAAAAAATGATAGATTTTGGAGGGAGTAAAAAATCAAAATGCTACTATATGTAGTATACAACTATGGTAATGTTTAATATAATATATGAATATAATATTAATAAAACTATAATAGAAATGTTCTTGCCTTTATAGCTGAACAAATTTGGAATGCCAAATTTTTCCGGTGTTGGAAATTTATAAAACCATTTAATGTTTTAATATAGTCCTCAAGACTCCTTCTGCAAAGATAAGATAGAATGATTATTATATTCTCCTCGTCAAAATAATCATCAACCACCTTTATAATATTCTCATGGTCCAATCAATATTTTTCAAAACATCAATTTTCACTTCTATATTTAATTATTCTTTTTTTGTCAAATTTTCTATCGTTGACATTGATAATTTAGCAGCATAAATGTTATCATCATCATAATTATTTTAACAATGCATGATTTGCCAATTTCATTATGGCCATTACTATAATCTTCATTATTTATAGCATGATATCTTTTCCTGATCGAGCAGGTAAACGATCCTTTACTTTTCTAAATTGATTTTCAAAATTAGTTTTGATATCCTCAAAAAACTGCACTTCTACACTCCCCACCATAAATATCCGAACCACCTGAGTCGTGTAACGTCAAATGAAAAGAGTCCTTACTAAAAAAGCAACGTTTTCTTAAATAAAACCTTTCTTATTTTACTAAGTAGATTTGTACTTGATATCAAAATCTCCAAATTACAAAAGCTTCGAAAGGCTTGGTGTGTTATTAATGGAAACATTTAGCAAATAGTCCAAAAAGCAAATTTTCAATCGGAATCTTTACATGTAATAAAAGGTCAAATTTCTTTGTTGTAATGTATATTATTTCATTAATAAAACGTGCTCAACGTAATGGATTACATATATCTACAATAGAGTGTCAGCATAAATTAGTTCGTGAAAGGGGTTTAAAAAAGTATCCGACCACCCCGTAATTATAAAACACTTAATATTAATAAAGTTGACAAAATGAAAATTTTAAGGTTTTACAATATTTTATCGATTTTTCTCAAATTTTAATCATATATAATTCAAAGTATTTTAAGTGAACTTAATGACGTACGTAATCCATGATTCAACGGAGTTTTGAAGGTTTTTACTAAGCGGGATTTTTTGTCTAATTTAAAATTTTCATCCTAAATTCATTAATCATGCAAACTCGACGAGACTTTAAGTTTATATGCAAATTAACTTTTAAAAACATGTTTACTTAATGAATTGCGTGAGGTATAAGTTTCCTAATTATTAAAATGATCATCAGGTGGTCGGATATTTATGTATTAGTATATAAATAATAAAATATTAACCATTGTCATTATTATATATTGCTAAAGTGAGGCCTTGAAACCACGTTTATTTATCTAAAATTCAATACATCATTAAATATTTACAAATTTTTACATGTAATCCTATCCTAATTAACCTATTATTAATTTAAAGCTAGCCTGCCACCTTTAATTAAAATAATTAATAGACATATTATTGTCACCATTATTATTATTATAATTATTATTATCATCATCACTACCAGCATTATTGTCATTATTATTATTATTGCTGTTATCATCATTATTGCCATTATCACCATTATCATTATCACTTATTATTATCGTCATCACTATCATCTTCATTATCATCACCACCAACATTAATATTAATATAAAGTTGTTGCTGTTGTTCTTGAAGTTGTTCTTGAAGTAGTTGACATTGTGGTAGCTGTGGTGGTTGTGTTAGTCAGGGCCTTCTTGTTAGGTTTCTTTCTTTTTTAATTTTCATTTTATTATTATTATATATTAAAACTAGAATGACGATAAACGTCGTCGTTGCTGTTGTGGTCATCATCATTACCATCAAATATCATCAATCAGACTACCACTACCAAAGCAGTTGTTGATAAATACATTATTGTTTATGTGATTATGGAAGTTATACGTCGCGATAACCACCATTCTTTAATAAACACTTGAATGAAACTTTAACACCACATTGTTGTTTGCTTTTGCTTTGGTTTCGTTGAGACATTGTTTTTTATTTAGAAACTAGAGTGACCGCAGGCGGCAATAATCGTCACCATTCTTATGATCTTTACTTCCACCGCATTGTCTTTTTTTCTTGGCATTTTGAAAAAGAAAAGACGTTTGGTTGATGCGCGTTAAAAAAAAAGATCAACAATTATTATTGGCACTTGATGTTGTACAAAGATTTTTTTTTACGCGATTGATTTTTTTTTTTTTTTGGGAAAGGTGACAAGGCGTGAGTGTTGTTGTTGTTTGATATGGTTTGGCTCTGAAGATGTATTTATAACTAGTCATAGATACTATTTTTTTATTTGTATTTGATATAATTTATTTTATTTTATAAATATTTTAATTGGAATCAAAACGAGGAGCAGATCTTGCTGGATAATTATAAGATTCTTATCATGATAACAAATAATTGGTATTTCGTTTTTGCTTTCCGTAATCATTATTAATATTATTACTATAATTAATTACAAGATGTCAAGTTGAAAAGGAAACATTTCGATATGTGACGTTTGATTATTGGAAAATTACAAGCGTTGAAACACACGTGCCGTCTTGAATACATTACATTCATTCACACGTTTCTCATGTATACAAGGCTAATCTGACCACGGTACCTTGATGATACAATAATCCAACAGAATTCCAGGAGGGTAGAGTTTACCAAGACTGCACGGAAAATTAATAAATAAATCGGAAATGATTTACGAAAGTTGCACGAAAAGAAAATCGGAAAAAACAACGAAGTAAATATTCTAACATTCTAAAATGCAACTAACCTTTAATTCTCAGGTTAAAGTTAAACGAAGGAATTTAAATGGTTGGATCACTTTAGGAATAACTTGAAAATAATCCTACAGAGAACTATATGATAGAACCTTTAACATATACAAACAACGCCGCAATTTTCCCAATTCCATGTACCATCATCACTACCATTACTCCTATCGATCATCATTAACGTTAACATCATAATAATAAATTAATAAATAACACTGTACTTGACCTTGTCCTTGTTGTTGCCATCGAATTTTTATATTTTCGTAATGATAATAAATCTATCTCTAACAATGAATTCATACTAATCCCGTGCATAATTATTTTATATTTGTCTCTATTATTTTTATTATTTTTTATTTCTTTTCTTTTTTTTTTAGTGAGGTAATATTTAATGAATTTTATTTAGTAGTTTTTTAGATACGTACCTGACTTGGTAGTAAAGAGGAAAACAGCTAGAGGGCATCCCGCCAGGAAACATAATCAGGATATATAGTGTAAAATATAAAGAATATATTGTTTAATATTTCCTATTACAAGGAATTGTTTAATGATAGTGAAGATAGTTTTGAGAGTAAAGCATAAATATACATTTGCGGAAATTGTTATATAAATAAATTGGAAGAATTGTATTAACATTGTTAGCATTTAAATAAATAAAATATTGAGATTTACTGTGAGACGCGGATTTTGATCTCACACTATAAAGCTCCTTTTATTCACTTGTGACAAATTTGTTTTATTATAAATAAGTTCGTCTCGGAAAGACAACTGGTTGAATTAACTAATTAAAATCAAAACTAGCCTAAGCAAAGAATATCCTAAAGTAAATCCGAGTTTCACAGGAATGAATTGATTTCTTGAGCAGTTTTTTTTTCTTTTTATTATAGCCTCAAATGTAAAAAAAAAGAGAATATAAGACAAAAGAATTGGATTCAATGTTTTTGTTAATTACGCAAAAACATACATTAACATCAACCAATAAATTTATGTATTATATTATTATATTCATGCAAAACTTCATATTTCAAATTTTTTTTAAGTGAAGATCATAATTTTCATCAATATGATAATTGCAGATTTTAATCACTCGAGAAGAAAGATTAAGGTTATGCAAATAGTCTTAGTGCAAAACTGTTGTATCCAATTCCGTCCGCCTTTGTAGGCAAATTATCTTGACTAAACCGTTTTAATAATTCTAAAGGTTATATTGAATTTCTAAAAAAATCGTTTAAAGTAAACAATAAAAATAAATATATTGCAGTGTTATTATTATGTTAGGTTTCGAACAATTAATAAAAACTTAAGCAAGAAACTTTGTGATAAAAAAAAACACTAAAATATGAAATTTTGCATGAATATCCCAAAAACATAGGCTATACAGTATAATACACAAATCTTATTGATTGCTATTACTGTATGTACATTTTTGCGCAATTAACAAAAACATTAGGTCCAATTCTTTTTTTTTTTTTGTGTCTCAAACATGCAGTTATCCACAAAAAATATCTGCAACTGCAATCTTTATTTGTGGATTGGCGATTGCGGATATTTATATGGATAACTAACTAACTATACCAATAGTTTGAACTCATGGAATTACAAATTATTGGACGTAATCATAAAAAAATTCATTATATAGGTAATTAGTGAATAACTAGACTTAGGAACTTACCACCACGGTGGTCGCTGTTAGGATTTGCGAAGTGCAAATCTAACCGAATTGTGTGGAAATCAGAATAAATGCCTCGTTTCTAAAATTATTTATTAATCTTAATCAAATGTGTGAAGTGAACATTATTAAAGAATTATTAATTGATTTAAAAATGCAAGTTTATTTTCAAGCCAAAGATTTAATTAAAATAATTTAATTTAAAAGTAATTCGTTTTTATTACAGAAATGAAAAGTAAAACTGAATTACAGGTTTATAAAATACAATAAAAAAAAATATATTAAGTAATCACGCAAAAATTTTGAATTTTGAATTTTAAATTTGCGTTAAACATGTGAGATTGCACACTAGCTAGACAGTGTACCTCTCCGCCTTCTGTATTACTTGACTGAGCTCTCATTTCTCCAACGATGTTTTGTTTTAGTTCCTTTATTTCTCTTTTAATTAAGGCATCAGTTAATAAGTTTTGTGTAGTGGGCCCATTTTCTTCTTTCCAATTTTTTGCATTCATGTAATCATTAATTCCTACGCATATCTCATCCCAATGCTCCATTTTGTAACTTACTTGACAAGAAGTTTTCAAATGATTCAGTAATATTTTTCTTGATTTTTCTCTATCTTCTTGATCAATTTTTCGTCTTTGTTCATTTTTGCTTAATTGAGGATTGTTCACATATATGATTCCATTGCAACGATTAATTAAACTAGCAATTTTTCTATTTTCATTTAATAAATCTCTTTTATCTTTATCACACTCTTCAGGGTTATCGAAGCATTCAAAACTATTTCTCACAATGGTCGTGATTTTAATGATTTTTTTTTCAAAAATATTCTCAGTTAATTCAAAAAGTTCTCTTTCCTCCTCAGTAAATCTTCCTCTCACTACCACAAGTACTTGGTTTATCCCTCTTTTCATTGAGTGAATGGCCTCGGCCAACTTCAACATGACCTTATCGTGTGATAAATTAGTATCACCGACTCCAATAGTATCAATCACTCGATATTTTGTCCCTTCCAATTCAAAATCTTTGATTTGGAAGTCTTTAGTTTGGCTAACTGAACTTCCACTTTCTCCAAATTCATCAGATTTGCTGATTACATTAGCCAAAGCAGATTTGCCGCTTCCTGTTCTTCCAATTATTAATACATTATTTTCTATATCTTCCTCATGGGTTTCAAATTTATATTTGCATTCATCTATTTCTCCGCCATTATTATCTTTAATACTTGTAACTTTATTCTCAACTTCTTCCTTTGTTAGATAAAACCCTATCAAGTCAGGAAATCTTTTAACTGCTAACATTTCCACTCCGTCTCCACCATCATCTTCATAATTAATTAATCTAATTGCGTATAAGCGAGCAACTTTATTAATAACTATCGCGTATTTTTTGTCACGGAAAAAATAAATAACATCCTTAATTTTGCCACGAATATTGGCTTTGTTTATTATTTCTTTGTCTTTTGCTGTTGGTTTAAACTTGGGCATAATATTATAGAACAAAATCTCAAAGTTGACAGTTAGTGAAATAAATTGCCTTCAAGGTTGAATATTGCGTTTCTGATTGATTAGTTTAATGCTAAACAATTACTCTTCCCGAAAAGCAAAAATGATTCTGCCTAATAGTAATAGAGATTTTTTTTCGGGCTTTTAACTCCGTGATAGTAAGAATCTTTATCAAAAAGAAATGAATGACAAATTTCATTATTTCTATATAAATATTAGCTTTGATTGCATGTATGAAATTCTAACTACCAGTACATACATAAGATTCAAATTTCGTATGTAACGCAATCCCCAAACATCGAATTTCATATTAATATGGTTAGAGGTTGGAAATCGACTAAACTTTTTTTGAACAACTAATAGTCGACTATTTAGTCGACTACTATTACTATTACTATTACTATTACTATGCTAATATTATTATTGTCTGGCCAATTACGATTTTCGTGTTTTATCATTCGAAATGGAAAATTTCTACGCGGAAGAGTATCAATGCCATCAATATAATGATGACGACAATAGTAGTGGTGTTGTTGATGATAATTTTACATGCGAATGAATAAACACTTCCAATACAAGGTCCAATAGTTCATTAATTACAAGGTCCAATGATTTGAGCGGTGGTTTCAGAAGACCTTTAAAAAAACACATGGTTTTGTGTGGAAGCATTTTGATTAAAAAACGAAATGTTATTATTATAAGAAAATTTTAACCAACCAGTAGTCGACTAAGGATTTTTGGACGATTCCAACCTCTAAATATGGTCCATCTATAAACGACAATAGTCCAAAATTCAAAAAACCCAAAGGATCAATCTTTATCCTTTGAACATTCATATTAATACATTTCTTCTTGTGAGGGCATGGGATTGCACATACTCCTGTATTTATTCCTAGATATGAGGATCGGGAAAAATCTATTGGATTTAAAACTTAAATATATTAACACTAACCCTACCATTATATTTGCATTAATAAAGAAAAAATCAAGGTCACCGGCTACACTATAATTCGCAAAGAAAAATGTCGCCAACCACACTGATTCGTAAAAAACCTGGGGATTTTACCATTAGAAAATGCAATGTTTGTGAATTTGGAAAATAGTCTCTATCAGCCAATCGTAGCGTGGGTCAACCCTATATCAAACTGTAATTTTCGGAAGTAACCTATCTAATTTAGTTTCGGGTTCTGAACATAGGCTATTATTATATATTAATAACAATCACAATTACAATAACAATAACGATGACTATAACAATAATAATATTATCATTTATATTTTTATGCAGGTTTTGTGATTACATAATTACATAAATTATATATTTCAATTTAAAATTCAATTACTACTTGCCACTTTAACAAATTTTATGAAACAAAAATCATAAAACTTTATTACAA